AATTTCAACACTAATTTTTTTTATCAACGATTGAAAAATTCACCGAAAATGGTATGAGTACAATTCGGATTCAATGGAACGATTTATACGTTTTGTATTACTTCACCATAATAAAACTTTTTGATTTGTATTCCATGCATGTTGCACATGCATAAGACAATAAAAACTGCTTCTTCCTGTTTTCAATTCAATAATGCCGCCGTTAAAGTCATATGTAACTAAATATATACATATACTAGATGACCCGACAGACTTTGTTCTATACCCACGTCTACAATTCAAAAGTTCCAATTTTTTGAATATCTTATCCTATACTTTTTAATATCCTATTTGATGCCTTTGTGAATTCATTTATGGTCTTAACGTAAGCAGTATAAAAAAATCAGAAAAAAATAATATAGTATCTGCGGCAAAAGAACAATATCACACTTTATTTTATCACACAACATAATTGCTTCAATAATTTTTATAATCTCGTACGATATGTTAGTTGCTTTTTGGCAATTATGATTTCTAAAGTACATTTTTCTTACTAATAATTTAATAAACATTATTTTGAGTTATCTAACCGTTATCTATCTAACTGAAAAGGAGTGCTTTACCTTGATATTTATGAGTAATTTGACAAAAACCAAAAAAATGTCCCAAATTTTCTATTAAATACTGAAGGAAATAAAAGGTCGAATTCAAACGCGTTTTATTCCAATCTTTTATATCAGAGTGTATATAAATTTTGGCATAGAATCGTAGTAAATTGTATCTAGTTTCTCCCTATCTAACTGAAAAGGGGTGTTCTCATATAATATTTATGAGTTATTTGACAAAAATAAAAAAAAAATTCCCGAAATTTCTATTAAATCCTAAAGAATATGAAAGATCGAATTCAAAGTCGTTTTAATCCAATCTTTAATATTCGGGGTGTATATAACTGTTGGCATGGAAATGTAGTAAATTTTATCTTTTTTTCCTATTAAAACTGTTTTATGTTAGATATGGTACTAAACTTATTACCGACTAATTTTAATAAGGGGTCTGTGTAATTAAGATATTGCATAATAATTCTCGTTAAATATATAAAAAAATTATTTCTAACTATATTTTTTTGTATAATTATGTTAATTATTAACTTTGTTAAAAATAATCCATGGATAACATTTTAAACGGATTTTTTTAGTGTAAAGAACTATTTCCGTTTATCGGGCGAACTATAACGAACTTCTTTTAGTTTTTTTTGTTTAACGGATTTTTTTTAAATTTAACGGCCGTTTTGACGTATGGCCGAACTATAACGAAGTTCGCCGCTTTCGAACTGTCAAAATGTCAACTATTACTTGACATGGCAACACTTAACGTCAAGTGCACGTGTTTTTGTTGTTAAAGTTGAATTTTAAAGTTATAAATATTTTTATGTGTGACTACTTATGCATTATTATCAGAAACAGTGTTACTTTTTAGCTTTAATTTTTTATCATTTATTATTCTAGTTTGAATAGTTGTGATTCATTTGAAATGGCTTTAGCAATAGGTATGTCTTGATGTTGTTTTATAGGTTATGTTACCTCTTAAAACTATAATTTTTTATAAAACAAATTATGAAATCCCATATATTTCCTTCTACTTTTACTTCTTTTTTCATTTAGAATTAAAACGTCGCCTGGACGATAATGATTCACCATTATGCAAAAGAATTCGGATGGCTGAAGATATATTCAAATCAAACAATTTTCCATTAACATCTCACAGAAATATTACATTAAATTGGCTCTGCAATTTGGCCGATAATAGTACAGATGATTTTTCGTGGATAGAATCTATTAAAAAGTGTTTTGGTACATCATTTGCATACGCTGATTTAGATAACTCGCTCATAGAAAATTTAATTAAGGTATTCATATTGAAATTTGTTTTACTGTAATGGTTTTATTTCATAATTGAGTAATAATTGAAGTATTGTTGTTTTATAGATACTTCTAAATAAATTAGAATCACAGTCTTTGGAAATAGTTGATGGCTTGATTAGCGTAATTGATAATACTTCAGTACAAAAATATTTTGTATCAAATTTACCATTGTGGAATAAGGTTATTGTAAAGTTAATAAAAACTAGTGAAGCTAGTATAAATACAAATAATCAAAGAAGTGAAATTTTATTGTATGTAAATAAGATTATTGCATATTTAATCAATCTTCATAAAATTGCTTTGGATCAAGATATTTATTATGAAAATGTTTTAAAAGGAGCTCTTGTGAATTTGATTTTGCTTCTTGATAAAATAGAGGATGAGGTTTTGAACAACAAATGTGTAGAATTAATTCAAACTTGTGTTTTTACTAAAGATAGTACAAAATTTATTGAACACTTTATGGATGTATTTGATCATTTGGAGGCAAAAGAGTGTTCAGAACTTGCCTTCAAAATTTTATGTATTGCTTATATTAAAGCTTACAAAGAAAGCTCAAATATTATTAAATTGTTCAAAAGTATTATTGAATGCAACAAGAACAACAAATTTTATCCATGCATACTCGTGGATATTTTCAAAATTGAGAATGTTTCTTTAGAAATTGAAGATAATGGTGAAACCTTAATGTCATATCTTCAAAAATATTCAATGGACATTTTATCTAGTTCTGTTAATTCAGATAAATTCATGTTTGCGTTTCTGAATTCAGCAATATTATTAAATCCATTAATCATTGAACCACAACTGAAAGAGTTCTTAATCAAGTCTATGTTGATGAAGAAAGAAAGTAGTGAGGGTCTACTTGAATTTTCAACATTTCTCAAGCATGTTGTTCAAACTTTATCAAAATTGAATAGAGTTCATAAATTACCCTTGTTATTACTTAATGATCTTGATGCAGCGATACAAGTAGAATGTGCTTCCAATGAGAATGTTAAATCGGATTATCATATTGAACAAATTTGGCCTCTTGAGGTCGCAGAGCACTGGGGTAATTCAATGGAAAATCTAAATGCCAGCATTACATGGAACACATTACAAAGTCTTCTGTACACTCTTGATAATAAGGGAATACTAAATAGCAAAGATGATACAAATAGTAATATCAAATGCATTATAAATATATTCTACATTTATGTATTATTGTTTATGTTTAATTATTTTAGTTTTTGGTGCCTCTGTAATGACACAAGTAATCTTGCGTTTCATTACCAGTTTTTTGAAGAACTGTAAATTGCCATTGATGTCCAAAGAAAATTATACAAAATTGTGGGATCATAGTAAAAAATCTTGTGAAATTCTAGCTAAGGTTGCTCTTGTGATTGTTAAAGAAAAGGTTGGTATTTTGATTTAATTTTAATTAAATTATTTTATAAAACTATTTTAATTGTTTTACTTCAAATAAAGTTACATAGCTTGTTGGTGCATTGGCTCGAAACAGCATACATAGTTGGTGAATTTATAATAATGCTAAAATATTATTGGAATTGCATGGACACCCAATTGCAACTACAACTGATTGAACAATATTTCAATGAAAAACATTGGAACAAATTATGTAAATTAGTTAAAGAAAGTGATTGCACAAAATCAAAAGACTACTTGGTATGGAACTTGGTTTTATATTTGGATTGGATTAGAAATTAATTATTTTTTTTGTTTCAGAATAATATACATCTACAAAAGTTACGGTACAAAATGATGATACACAGTTTAAGTAATAATAAGCATGACCTAAAGGAAGAACTAAAAGTAGTCTATAACAATTGGGAAAATATTTTGAATTCAAAACTTATATTCAAATCCTTACTACCCTTAATGACACAGGCTCAAGTTATAGAATTAGTTAATAATTCTATCCATGATATAGTTAAACCAAATAATTTGCACATATTACAATCAGATTATATACAAGAAAACAATAATTATATTTCAGTAACTTTATTTAGCATATTTCATGAAATTGCTAAATTGTTATCGAAATCACTGAAAATAGTCGAAGAATTTAATATTTCAGAAATATTAGATGATAAACAAAAGTTTTTGATTTCCATTGGTGAAACTTTAGAACAAGATTTTGTTGTGGAGTCTCCAATTGTTGATGTAGCGGCTCTTGAAATTTATTTAAAAGCACTTGTAGCATTGAACTTGCAATTTTTAGACAATACAACTAAATGCAGTATATATATTTTTATAATTTCTATCTTTGCATATTTGAGTGAAGTTAATAAATTAGTAAATGATGATAGTAATTATCAAGCGCATGTTGAAGGGTGTCGGAGCACTTGTGGAGTAATATTAGCAAGTGAGTTTATTCAATCACATTTTTTATTATTATTTTTTTATCATCTATTTTTTTAATTTACTTATTTGATTCATTCTGTATTGCAATGAGACAAGACACATAAATTTCCTTTTTTTTATTTTATTTATTTATTATCAACTTTTTTTAATTTATTTGATATAATTTATATAGAATGTATTTCAATTTAATTTATGAATTATGAATTTATACACATAAATTCAATTTTTTTTTTTTTTTTTTTATTATTTTTTAATTAATTTATATATTTATTTGATATAATTCTTATTCTGTGAGATGAAGTGAGACTAGATGCATAAATTTACTTTTTTTCGAGTTTTTTTATTATTACTATTTTTTATTTATTTTACTTTTATTTATTTTTTTTAATTTATTTTCTTTACTGATATAATTCATGCATACTATATCTCAGTCAGACAATTAATACACATAGTTTTTTTTTAATTAAAATTATTAAAATAAAATCATAGACTACTTACTATTCAAATTTTTATATTTTTACACATTTTACACAATTTTAATATAATAAATATCAAGTTAAAACCATGGACTGTTATCCACGTTTTTTTTTTGTTTATTTATATTACTGTATTATTTGATATAATTCATACATATTATATCTCAGTCAGATAATTATTCTGGTACGAGAGATTTATAACAAAAATAAATTCCTAATTTTTCTATAACAATTGTAAATTACTTATCAATTTTAGATGTTTTGGAAAGTGGAACAAGTTTCAATGTTGATGATTACATATCTTCCACCGTTTATTTAAAGATATCTTCCTGGATATCAAAAACAGAACTTATCCAGCCGGTCATAGAAATGTCAATGAAAGAAAATGCTAATATAATTCCTAAGCTTAATAAAGTTGTGAAGAAAATTCACAAAAATTATCAAAGTTTACCTGACGACAGCATTCCAAGTAAATTACATGAATTACTTATTGTTCCTACTATTTGTCTCACTCTTTCAACCAAGGTAACAAAAATAATAAATTATTTTTGTTTGTATTTGTTAATTGTTTTATATTTTTGCAGATGAAAAAGTTGCATAAAGAACAACGTGCTTTGGTTACAAAATTGAGAAACAAATGTGTCGATATTGTCCACAATATAATTACAAAATATTCTAGCAATGCACCTCTTGAAATTCTATTACCAAGTTATAATCAATTATTACAATTATGGATTAATAATATCGAAGCTAGAGATAACATTAAAGATATTGTAACAATTTTACCTATTTATTTAAAATACTCTGTAAGTAACTGAATTTATTTGTTTACATTAATGGTTTATCACAAGTATTATTATTATTATCATTAATTTTAGATGGACACTATACAAATAAAAAGTAAGGGTGATGCACACTCCTTTATTATGCTTGTTACAAGAAATCAAAAACATTTTATGGACAATTTGCCTGAAAATTTTGTTTTGGACTTATGGGACGTATATTACAAAATTAATTGTAATATTCAGAATATTTCTTCTACAGAAACTGTTCTTGCTTTGTTAGAAAGTTGTGATGATAAACAATTTGAAGAAATTATTTTAAAATTGAATGACAATACTGTAAGTGTTATAAGACACATTTTTCAATACATTTTTCAACATTTTATTGAAATTTATTATTTTAATTTGAAATTAATATTATTTTTGTTTTTAATTTGTAGATTAAATCTATGGAGTGCGAAAAAGACTTTCCAAACAGTATAAATCTGTGGGTAAATATTACAGAAGCAATGTTAAGTGGAAACAAGACTAAATTACGGCTTGAAATATTAACAAAATTATGTCAAGATCTTTTGGCATTGATTACAAAAGGCCATTACACAAATGGAACGAATACTCTAGTTATAATGAAATTCTTCTTAGCAATTACTAAAAATCCTTTGGTAATTATTTTACAATTTGTTATGAAAATAATTTAATTCCAAATAATTTTAATTATTTAATTTCAGCTTCAAATTAATGTATTAGTGATTGAATCAATTTTAAGTGCTGTTTTCCTAACACCTTTTGATGATTTATCAACATTCGGAGTGGACCTGTTTAAAACTTGCTCTGAAATTGTGAACTTTACTTTGCTTAAAAGAACAGCATTGATATTAGACAGACTCCCTGTGGTAATATATGGAATACGTTATTTAATTAAAATCTTGGCACGGTGGTCTGCTTCAAAAGAATCCAATAGTGTGGAAAAAGATAGTTTCCAAAGTGTACTAGCAGATCTTGGGCACTCTATAGAAAAGTATGTACATATTCATATATTATAATAATCTTTATTTAAGTGTATTGTATGTTTTTTTTTGTTATTTTTAGGGTTTTTACTTCGCTCATAAAGTTAAAACGCAATTTATCAAGGCCTGCTTACTTGATGCACGATGTAATAGTTGAACTTTCTTCTTACACTTTAACAAATGAAATTAAGCAATCCTTACTGAATTGCTGTTATCAAATACATAGCCTATGCGACTCTCATGCACTCAAATATTTGAATACTGTATCTAGTGTTGCTAATAGAGAAATATTCAAAAATATTCATGAAACCTATAATAAATTTCATATGTTCAAAGGTAAAATATAACTTTTATGTATAATAAAGATTATATGAAAATTGAATTGAATTTTATTATATTATTTTACAAAACTGAAACTCCAGGTATTAGATTCAAAATTTTCATCGATTTATTCATGTAACAATGATAATTTGACCTTATTAACAATATCAATATGCAATTCAATCTAAATTTAAACAAATTAGGTCTCCTTATTAATACATTATTTCAGTCGTTAACAATCTCATAGTAAGCAACTAGCATATTTGAAAATATATATGCTACTTGCTATAGCTGCTGTATGATCTTTTTTTTAAACATCACAAATTATGTAATTGAATTAATGTTTTATATTAAGTACAATAGAGACTATTACATTATTGTGTTTCATACTTTAAAAAAAGGGTACTTGAAACAATATAGTTTTAAAAGAAACAAAGTTCTTATGTAGTTCCACAGTCTTGTTGATTTAATAATAAAATAAAGAAAATCCTGTATTAATATTGTGCATATCAAATTGAAATTAGGTTATACATAGGCATCTACAAAAATATAATACTGTAATAATTTGCTTATCAACACAATTTCCAATATAATAATGAAAAATACATCAAAAATTAAAATAAAAAACTAAACTTTTTAAATCTCATGCTATACTATATATTGATCAATGAAAGAATTATCAAACAAATATATAAACTAGTTAATTAAATAAATGCACTTTAAGTATGTTTGTCATGATTTTATATTCTAGTTCATGAGTGCAGCTATTTAGATTACTATATACAAAAACAAGATAATGTAAGCTGCATGTGTTCCATGTTCGTTTATGATTATAATTTCTATATAATTTACATTAGTCTTAATGCTTTCTAAAATTTAGGGAAGAACTTTTAAAAAATGATGAACAATATCTAAAGGATTTAATTCCTTTCCAATATTGCAATCCTAAACATTTCCAAACTCAACAACTGGCCTGGTAAATTAATCCTAAGATTTAATGTTAAATGTTATTTAAGCCACATATTTAACATTACATTATCACAATATTCCAATAATATAAACATTATCATTTACTGAATATTCTATCAAAGTCAAATTATGAAATAAAAGTAAGTAAGTAAATAAAATAAAATAAGAACCTATTTAAGGTTTGTGATTCCTTCTAGGACTAGAAGTTTTATCATCAGCTGCATGATTCGATTTTTCCATTAAAAACATAGCTTCTTCGTAGCTAGGAGGTGGCGCTTCACTGCTTGTGCCTTGTGGTGCTAGAGGAGTCACCAGCGCTTCGTAAGAAGGTGGTAATGTGGCTGTAGATGCACTTCGAGCAGCCAATCCTCCGGAATAGGCTTGCTCTGCTTGTGCTGCTGCCAAATCCTAATAGAAAAAATATAATTATATGTAGTATGATAAGTATGCCATTATGGAAAATAGATCTCGAAATACAAAGATGTACTTTCTAAAGGTAAAATCTTTTCAAACGACGAATCTGAAATTGCAATATTGTATATTATGATGTATTTACCCGAAATATAGCCCTCTGATGTAAAAGCATTTGTATTACACTCTTTCTTCTTAAGTAGAGCATACTTTTAACGGCAACCATCAATCCAGAACACATAAATATAGGTCCTACTAACCACATATGTCCCAAGTTACTAAATATGTAACCATCTGCATCACCTAAAGCTAAAACTGTAATTACACTTCCCACTGAAAAAAGCACCATGGATAAAGCGAAATATGAATAACTAGTGCAATCACAACGACCAAATCTTTGGTCTTCATCATAGTCTAAATCTCGTTGTCTTAAGCGATGCAGTCTTTGGGTTAAAAATGGGCTATTAAAAAACAGTTGCCATGATAATTGATTTAGTCCCGACAATAATTCAAGTTCCAAATGTTTATATTAGCTTTTGAAACACTCAGCTATAGCCCATAGCATAATAGTTAGCCACATCACTTGAGAACAATTACTTCGAAATCTGGAATTTTATTTGTAATATCATAATTACAGCCGACGTAAAGTCGTGGGTACCGAAAAGTTATTAGGTATTGCATTTGGCTTTTAAGCCTTGATAAATAAAACGTAAACATTAGCATTTGTTCTTTTAACTTTTGTATTTTTGTCGTGCAATGAAAGATGCACTTCAACGCCACAATCTGTCAACAGTCTAACTAACTATTATTAATGCCGTCCTGTGATTGGTCGGAATTGGAGTGTAATTTGTGAACGACCAATCACGTTCTATTCTGTACGTACTAATTCAGACTGTGCAGCAATATGGCTGTCAGTATATAACTGATCGCCTTATGATGAGCTTCCTTTCCTTGAATTGTCGAATTTTTTTTCAAAACTCCAAAAATTTTATGTTATTTGCGCTGATTTGTTGAATAATCATGATGACTCGTTGGCACTGAGATAACGTAAGACAGATTTTTTCAAAATTGCACAGATTAAATCTGATCTTGTATAATATGTCCTAGAAAATGATTCCATAGGCTATGATAGACTATATAGTTTTTTATACTACTGATTATGCATTTAGGTAATTCCGGCGAATATTAAATTTTTACAAACAATTCCAGGATTACTTCTACTACGATTAGGACATTGATATATACTATTGATTACAACAATGAGTTCTAGGTATGTATACTTGATCTCATTTTACTAAATAAACTATCAAATAGGGGTCTAAGTAGGAAGCTCTTTCATTTAGGGGTAATTGTTCACGTTTTAATTAATCTTTTCATATTTAAATATGGTATATTGTTGTTTATTGGTCACTGATCACTGGTATTTGTATTTCACGTAGTCAGGCATATTAGATTTATTTGAGTAAATAATCTCTCTAATATATACACTTTCCTAAAATCAAATATTTGTTCAACTAGGTAATATCATAGAAATCACTGGAAATGAACTTCACATTAAGAAATATTCAAATAAACACATTATTTTAATCTGTATTTACTTAATTTTAGACTGGATAGATTTTTATCCTCTTAGAGAGTGGGACATCCCAAGTTACACGAAGATTAGCAGCTAAACAATTAGGAGAAGTTCAATCATTGCATCCGCATGAGTTGCATAATCTCTTAAAAAGAACTTTAGTGTTGCTTCGTAACTCTAATTGGGATACAAGAATACTGCCGCCCAGCCATTGAAGCCATTTTAAATAGTTTGCCTAGGTGGGATCTCCTCCAGGACAAGTGATTAAGATCGAAGGTTTGGAAAGCTAAAATTGATTGCACAATGTAAACAATAATTTTAAGATTGAGTATTGCTTTTCTATGTTCATTACTAAGCTTGGCATGTCTGGTTTCTAAATACTATCTTAAGTTTTCAAGAGTTGTATTCTTTTATAACAGAAAAGGATGTTTCTGCTTCAAATAGACTGAGATTGGACACATTCAACTTTAGAAAAAATATTGTGCGCTGCTCCATTGAGTGGATCTGAAGGAAAAGAATTGACTGTGATGATGATAATAGTAGAGGTAATACTGGAAAAATTTAGAATTTTTCACATGTATATATATATTTATATCATCTCTCTACATTGACAGATATTAATGAAACTATATCACATCAACGCCATCAGCTAAATTTACGTTTAGGATTTGGAGATAACTCTATATTATCTTCGATTAGTAATTTAGGAATTTTAGTGACAAATGATGATTTAAAGCCATCAAGTTTACCTAGCAATACTACACAGGATAGGGTAAGAAATTTATTGTAAACTTAATATTACAATTTTGTTGACACACTATATTTTCAGAAACCTATTGATGAATTGTTTAGCTCAGTTCTTATTTCTAGGGAAATTAATAAGGCTCGGAGAAAAGCAAGCAATCTGCATTTCAGATCTATCATCGTAATGGTTCTAAACACTCGCTTGAAGATGATGATGAACCGAGAAGAAGAAAGTTAAATTAGAATTGGATGAAAATTCATGTAAGATACCCTCAAAGTTGTTAAATATTTATACTAATTACATTTTTAGTTAATTAGTAAATTTTTGTTTAAAATAAATTTCTTTTCAATAGGTGAGGGTTTGGAACTCCTGATGGAAGTGGGAATGGAGCGAACCGTTGAATGGCCATTGGAAGGATTATGTGAACGTTTATGGCTTGAATTATTAGTCCAAGGTGGGGCCTCGACATGGGGCAGCAACAGGCATTAGGGAGTCTTAAAGCTGCAGGAGAAGGTGCAGGAAAAATGCTGATACAACTAAGAACAAGTAATTTTCTATAATTCATTGTAATAGATACCTATTTCAATCAAATTAATATATGCATAATGTTAATGGGTTTTAGATGAAGAGCAGCATAATATATTGTTGGAAGATGCAGCTGTTAGATTATTATGGATTTTGGCATTGGATGGTTTGGTGATTTTGTTTCTGATCAAGTGGTGGCTCCAGTGCGTGAAACATGTGCACAGGCTTAGGTCTTATTGTTAAAGATTGAAACCTCCAGATGTGCATAGAGTTTTAAATTTCTAATCCAATGTTGAGCAGGAAAGAATGGGAAACTAGGCATGTGGTTTACTAGGAATTAAATATATGCTTTGCTGCAGACAGGTCTAACATTAGTTGTGATACTAAAACGCAACATGCGAAATGATCATCGTATTTAACTTTTTAATGAGGATTTGGTGTCAGAAATATTACCTATCGTCTTTCCACATATCCAACTTGGTGTTGGTGATAGCATGGACGATGTTGGTGCTGTAGCTGCCTCTTGTCTTATTCCAGTAGCTGATAAATTAATGATGTATGAAGCCCTTTCAATTTAATATTGTTTCTTAATATAATTATGAATATTCTGATTTATTTGTTTAGGGTTCTAACTGAGCTCTCTCGCTTGTAACAAAACTTGGGACTTACTTCTTGATCAGATGAGCTGGCTTCAGCATGTAATTCTTTTATGGGATTACTAGCTGCTATTTTAAGTTTACCTGATCTGCAGATTTATTAAAGTAAATTATATTTGCTAACAAATCGAATCTTATTTTGAAATATTCATTTTGTATTTGGTTCTTTGTGTAGAACTCAGCCATTAACATAAGTTGTTCCTTTCCCTCGATTATGGCCATTTTTAGCTCATAATTCAAGTTCTGTGCGATTGCAACATTGCAGACTCTATTCACTTTATCACATAAATCTGTAACTTATATGGCCATCATGTTTACTTCAAGAAGCCTTGAGGCATATATTTCAAAGAGTGTTAATTGAACATATACCTGAAATCCAGATCTTGTTAAGAAGTTATAATTATATTTATATAAAAAATTATTGATATATTACACAAAATATATTTGTAGGTTTGGTGCAATCTTGTTGCAAATTCATCTCTCGATGCACTTCTGCATGCAGCTTGTCCATTTTTTGCATCTTGGCTATGTATGGTAATGCATCCTGCAAGGGTTCCTTTTGATCCGTCAACGCTAATACATGCTGCATCACTGAAGGTATTAATTTTCAAATAATAATATTATAGAGAAAATCCTATAACAATTTCTTATTGTTTCATTTAGAAGAGCAGTGGGTGGTTCTGAAAGTAATTGTTATATTGAAACTCAAAAGTTTTGTTGTAGGAAGGGAATCAAACACCACAAAATATTAGAGAACAAAATGTTATAAGAGCCAGATGTGTGGCATCGGAAATGCTGGTCAGTAATGATAAATAACCTGTAGAATATCTTTTTTCTTTATCATTGTTTTTTTTTTCTATGTAATGAGTATATTTTTAGGTCAGTTATCTCAGTACTTGGTGAAACCGTCTCCCGGAGTAGAATATCCTCCTGACACCAATTATCCTCTGGACACTTTATACGTGTCATGGTTGCCATATTTGCAATCACATTCTGCCTTGCAGAAATTAGTAGCAAGTTTAGTGTTAGCAGATTGGTCTATTCGAGATAACTCAAGCCGACCATGTGTCATACAGTATTGGCAGAAACTTTACAGGCTGCCAATGAATCAAACAGTTTATTATGATGAGATAGCTGTTACATGCACCAGGCGAATAATTATAATAGTTTATACTTAATTCAACTCGTTAGCTAACTCAACAATCAATATGTAATATGATTAATAATTTTGCAGGCTACTCAAGAGACTAGGGATTTCATTGCCATGCTAAAGCATTACAAAATAGATCTTGGAATTGATAACCGTGACGTAATACCTTAGAAACAATTGCTCAATTTAGCGGTCCCTCCACCCAACAATTGTTAGTCAAATGTAAACTCAAACAGAAAGTATTTGAATCTTTAGAAGAGAGAAGGAAAAATATTTATGCCTCGGTTACACAGACAACATCAGATCAATTGATGTTAAATGTTTTCGTAAGTAGTACGAGATTTTAAACTTGTAAAAGGTACTACTTCCTTAATTTGGGATTTATGTATTTTATAAAAATACATTTTTATTCTAGGACAATGGCTGCAATTGCAGGTGCTGCTACTCAGCTTCATTGTTTACCGTTAAACTTAATCCTTTAATAAAACCTTTAATGGAATCATTAAAAGGGAAACTTTAGAACCGCTACAACAGTTATCAGCTGAGGCATTTAGCTATGTTACTTCTTTATGTCTGGAAAGAAATCCATGTCCAAATCCAAAAATTATCATGAATCTTTGTTCTTTTGTTAAAGCTGATACCGAATTTACTCTAAAATGTGGGTATGTATATATGATTAATAAAATTATAATTTGAGTTAGTTTAATAATCTTTACTTATATTTAAGATGGAAAGAAGTAAACAATACTAGTCAAGCTCATGAAATGAGTGAAGAAAAAATTATAATGTCGTTGGGCAAGTCAGCATATGATGG